AAGTAAAAAAACTTTCTAGCCTACAATTAAAAAGAAAAATTGAAGGAGATAAGACTGTACAGTCTCAAAGAATTCTTATGAATTTGAAGATAAACCAGTAGTATATATAACTTCTTACAATAAGAAACCACAAGGTTAATTTAATTAAAACATGAACATTTAGAACTCTGAAAAAATATGAGAAAACTAGAAAGGATGATATTATAATTCCTAAGCTATAACAAGACTTCGGAAAGAAAACAGCATCTGTAACTATAAACAAGCTCTAATGGTTTAAAATGACAACTCCCCCTCCATGCCCTCTTAAGATGACAGCATCATCCTAACTAGCTTCTGGCTCTGGCCTCACCCCACCACTCTGTCTCACACAAGCTGTCACTTAGCTGATCTGCCTACTGTGTAGCTCTGATTATCCCGTCCCTGCTCAGAAGGCAAACTCCTAGCTTGATGTTTAAGATGGCACCATGTTCACCTTTCCAGCCCAATTTCTCTCAGCTTTTGTTACTCACCATCTTTCTGACAGCCATCCAGAACTGAAATGGCTCATACGCTCTCCTGAGTCTGCTCCTTTTTCTTATTCTGTTTCTTATAGCTGAATTTTTCTTTCCCTTTCCTGCTAAAATCCTATCCAACTTTCATGGCTCTTCTGGAACGCTATCTCTTCATGAGATCTTTTAATCCAGCTGGCTATGATTCTCTCTTGTTGTTGCTGGTGCTGTTTAATTGAGTTAGACTCATAGCGACTCTATCAACAAAAAAGATCTGAAACCTCTTCTATCCTGCACAATCCTCACATTTCCTGACACACAGGAGCCCACTGCAGCAGTCACCGTGTCAGTCCACCTGGTTGCGGATCTTCCTCTCCTTTGCCAACCTTCCACCATTCCTAGTATCATTCTCCAAGGAAAAAGCCCTTTCTAGGAACATGCCCAAAGTATGTGGGGTGAAGCCTCATCATTCTTTCTCTAAAGAGATTCTCTCTTCTAGGACCTTAAATGTCTCTAAGGTACTGATATTGCACTGTATATTACTTGTCATTCCCACAACAGAACTGTAAACTCTATTTGAGGCAGAAGCTATTTAATTTCTCTTCTGTCCCCTGTAGTAAGCATGGGGCTTTACACATCACAGGGTAGGCAATCACGTACGTACTGTGTCAAACTGTATTGAATTTTGCTCCAAGAAAGTCACTAAAAGGAAAATACTTCTGGTGCACAAATAGCAAATGAAAGGGTTTATGAAAGGATTTCAGAAAAAGCCTCAGAATATGTAGACTATATAACTATGGTAGAAACATTTTACTTCTGTAGGACTAAGACCAACAGACTTTTATAACATCATAAGGGGGGGAAACCCGACACAAAACTTTTCCTTTTCCAGGTAAATAATAAATTAACTAAAAAGGAATGACCTTTTAAAAAATAAGCTCGAATAATTTTTCTCCCAAATAGTACAAATACTAGATATGGTAACAAATTCTATTAAATAAAAGAATGAATCATCCTTATAAGTGACTATGTAGTTATTTAACATGACAGGAAATTTTAGAAAAATTACTAACTTTTCTTTACTAAAGAAATTACCAAATTTATTAAAAGAAAATCTGTTGCTTGAAGCACTTATTGCAGAAGATTAAAAAAAAAAAGGTACAGCCTGTAATATGAATTACATCTCAACATTAAAGAAAACAAAGATCCTCAACAATGGGCCAGAAGCCAACATTATGATAGGGAAAAGTCTGAAACTCTTAATGATTTCATCTTGCTTAGATGAACAATCAACACCATCGCCGCCAACTGTCAGGAAATCAGGAAATGATAGAAGTCCACTGGGAAAGTCTGCTGACAGGGACCTCTCCAAAGTACTGAAGAGTAATGTTGTCAACTTAAAGACGAAGGTGCGCCCAAATCAAGCCACGGCCTTTTAAATCACCTGTTATGCATGTGAGAGCTGGACAATGAATAAAGATATCAGAAGAAGGATTGATGACTGAGTTGTAGTGCTGGAGAGGAGTGCAGAGAGTCAGAAGGATTGCCAAAAGAACAAACAGGTATGTCTTAGAGAAGGTGAGGCCAGAGTGCTCCTTGGAGGCAAAGGTGGTGAAGCTTCATCTCACATACTTCAGATATGTTGTTGAGCTGTTAGGTACCATAATGACTCATACTGATCCTACAAACAACACATATGAACCCTGCCCTATCCCGTGCCATGCCCATAATCTCTGAGACACTCAAAGCTATTGCCGCAGTCACAATGTCAACCCATCTGGTCAAGGGTCTTTTCCTTCACTGCCCCTCCACCTTCCCAAGATAATGTCCCTCTCCAAGGAGTAACTTCTGATAGCAACAAATCCAAAGTACGTGAGATGAAGCTTCATCATCCTTGTCTCCAAGAAGCACTCTGGCTGAACCATCTCCAAGACACATCTGTTTGTTCGTTTGGCTGTCCATGGGATATTCAACAGTCTTCTCCAACACTACACATCAAAGGCATCAATTATTCGTTTGTCATATTTAGTCAATGTCCAGTTCTCAGATGTATACCAAGTGACTCAAAAGACCAATGCCTGTATAAGCACACCTTAGTCCTCAAACTAACATCATTACTCATCAATAATTTGGAGAGGTCTCTGACCACAGACATTGGGCATGTTGTTAGGAGACGCTATTCCTTGAGAAACGTTATCATGCTTAGAAATGTAGAGGGTCCCTGAAAGAGAGGAAGACCCTCAACAAGATGGACTAATACAGTGGTTGCTGTAATGGGATCAAGAGATGGTAAGGATGGCACAGGACAGAACATGGTTTATATCTGTTGTTCACAGGGACGCTATGAGTCACACTCCATTTGACAGCACTTAACAAAAACAATAGTCTATAACTTTAAATGAACTCATTGTCATCAAGTTGGAACTTACTAATAGTTGATCCTCCATCAGGTTTTCAGAGGCTATAAACTCCATGGTTCAACTATGACATAGTTGCATGGTGGAGGGGACCTGGGGGAGGGTTTGGTAAAACAATGAAAGAATCTTTTCTTTTACTTTTCCATAATTTTTGGACTCATGTACTTATAACTTGTTAGTCAAATTTGTGTCTTCTAGGTTGCAACACCCCCATGATACATCTTCAAGGATATGAACATGTACAGCCAAGCACAATCAATAAGAGTGCATCTGAATTCCAAAATCAATCTCCATAATAGTCTATGTGTTTCCTACTGCCAAAGGGGCCCTTTAGAGTAGTGAGAGAAGATCTTCACCCTGAAACCCACAGCGTCCCTTTTCAGCAGGAAGTAGCTAAGAGAATACGCCGTCCCCTTTTCCTTATGACTCAGGGTGAAGTCTCTCTCAGGGAGGAGTGATAGGGAATGGCAAAGGATACACTGACAAAGAAGATTAATCAGAACTGGCTTTGACAAGCACTGTGGCATTTGGACAAGAACAAACTGGGAGGAGGGTAGAGAGAATAGTGCAACAATGAATGAGTGGAAGCCCAAAATCTCTGTAAATGTTTATGAAAATTAATAAAATATAATTATAGGGAAAAAAAAAACAAAAAAAACTATGACATAGTTTTTCTTGTTAGGAAAGGTATACATCAGAGTTGTTTCCTCCCTTCATATCTACTCAACACATATGCCAAGCAAATCTTTCAAGAAGCTGGACTATAAGAAGAAGAATGTAGCATCAGGACTGGAGAAAGACACATCAACAATCTATGTTACACAGATGACACAAACGTGCTTGCAGAAAGTGAAGATTTAAACTAATATTTTATAAAGAAGACCAAAGCCTTTAATATGGATTATATCTCAGTATCAAGAAAACAAAATTCATTACCACTAGACCAACAGACAACATTGTAACAGATGAAGAAAAGATTGCAGTTGTCAATGATTTAATTTTATTTAGATTCACAATCAATACACATAGTTGTTGTTAGGTGTCATCAAGTTGAGCACAACTCATAATGACCCTATGAACAAGAGATCTGAACCCTGTCCTATCTGGTGCCATCCTCACCAGTCACTGTGTCAGTCCATCTAGTTGAAGGTCTTCCTCCGTTGGCCGTCCTTCCACCTTTCCAAACATTACATCCTTCTCCAAGAACTAACCTCTCCTAGCAAAAAAAATATGTGAGATGAAGTTTTACATACATACAGTAACAGCAGTAAAGAAATGAAAAGATGTATTGCATTTGGTTACAGTAGGAAAATCTCCCCTCAAGGATCTCGCTAAAGTGCAAAACAGCAAGGATATCAGCCTAAAGACTAAGGTGTGCCGGACCCAAGCATGGGATTTTCAACTGCTTCATAGGCACTGGAAAGTCTGACAATGAATAAGGAAATATGAAGAACTGATAACTTTTAATTGTGGTGCTGGACACACCATAGACACAATCAAATCTCTCTTGAAGGGAGTGCAACCAGGGTGCTCATGTGAGGCAAGTACGGTGACATTTCATCTCACATACTTTGGCCTGCACAGAGGCTTCAGTAATGGGCTTGAGCATGGCGGAAATCTTGAGGATGGCACCAGGATAGGGCAAGCTTTCTGTTAATAGCGCCACTATGAGTCTTAGTTTCTGTGACAAAACTAACAACAATATCATCTCTCATTGACCAATAGTCTTACAACATATAAAAACTCACTGCTGTTGTAGACTGATACACTTATATAACATAACTTCAAATCTCACGGCTATTTGACTTAGCATTGTCACTGAGTCAGAATCAACTCACAGCTGAACCTCCACTGAGTATCTGAGGCTGTAAACTGCACGAGAGGAAAAGGTCCATCTTTCTCCCATGGAGGTGCTGGTGGATCCAAACTCCCAGAATTTATAAAATATAAGCAATATAAGAAGATGTCACACCGACACCTAAAGGCTGCCATGGATTTTCTATACTTGTTACAGACCAGTAACAAAGCTTGCAAATGGGCTGAATATACATTCATTGTGCTTCCCAATGTGAGGAAACATCGGATATAGACCTACCTTCTGCTCTTGCACTTCAAATACTGCTTCATGGACACTGCAAGCAAAAAGTGAGGTAGGCAGGTCACTTAAATCCATCATCTCTTCCAAATCATCTTCATTTTCACCAAAAATCATTTCCTCTTCCTCTTCTTGGTCACTGCTACAGAGGTCTGACTGGCTGTCATTCCAAGATTTCATAGTGTCTCTTAGCATTATCCCCTGAAAGCAGGTCTCTTTCGTTTTTAAAGTCCTAGGATGTCTGCCAGGCACCTACTGTTAACAAAACACAACACAGAGATAAGGCTGCGGTGGCCAAATAATGTTCCAATCAATCAAGTTCTCAAGACAGCAATTCATCAAGTAAAGCAATTTTATTCAGGAATGATAAATCCGTATTTCCATCAACTCCTTACAGTTCTCATAAATGAATTCCATAGACACTAATTTGACTTGCTTAGCATATTTTGTATAATATAATTCATTGGCAAGAACATGCTTCTAAAAAGGCAAAAAGTTTTCCAATGAAACTGGAGAAAAAAGGATCATGAAAATGAGACATTATCAATATGTACACTACTTTACAAATAGCAGGAAGAAAAATGTGAACCAGAAACTGCCATCACATATTTGTTTTGGGTTTTAGGTATACAACACTGAAGTTGGCACAGCAGAATAAAACCCACAATGATTCACTCACCATCTGTACCCTGAAATATGGTCTGTGATGAGCTGATTTTACTCTCCTTAAGCAATTTGTTCTTTTTTGAGAATATGCTCAAAGAATTAAGTTACACCAAACCAACAGATAAATCAATCTTTGTTCATACTAGAAATGTTTACAGCAGGTAAAAATCTTTAATTTTAACACCAAGGTACAGAGCTGACAGTGTCTCTCTTTAAATGAAGGAATACAGTCCTTTATTATATAACTATTTTTGTGCACGTTTATCTCTTCCAATGAAAGCACACAACAGCCACGAAGCAGAGTACCTTAAACAATACACTTTAAGTGGCTGAACTGGAACTCAGTACCTATCATCAGGCCCATAAAAATTAATCCTGATTACCTCGACAGTATATCATTTGTAATTTTCTCTTATTTCTCTTTATTTGATCTGCCACGTGCAAGCAGCCCTCTGTATTAGCAGTGCAACTCATTATGGATTATGTTACCAGAGCAACTTTGGTACAGGATAAAAACAGTGGTGTTGGTGTTCCCTCATCACCTTGCAAGAGAACTAATTCTAAAAAGTAAAATCTTTACCTGTTTTACCCACATTTTCTGAATGTTAACTGCTAGGAATCAAACAGCTCCTACCAAAGTTAAGTCTTTCTTAGCAGCAACCACTCTACTCTTGCAATTTCAATTTCTTCTTTTCCATTTCCCTTACACAGCATAAATATTCAAGAATCACCTCTATCTTAAGAAAGAAAGTGTTCTACGGGGAGTCTCTTTTTCTCTTAATCCACCTCTTCCGGCCTCACCTTCACCTTGCCCATCAAAACTTCCTTGAAGAGAATGTGTACTTCTGGTGTTTATGTCTTCAAGTCCAGCCACTTCTGCATTCAGAACAGCCTGGCTTCTGCCATGACTGGTTGACTCTGCCCTCATTATGCGTGCAAAACCTCCTCCTGGAGATTCTAACCCACAGTGGCCCCCTAAGGCAGAGTACAGCTGCCCAGGAGGGTTTCCAGGGCAGTAAATCTTTATAAGTGCTTCATCTTTCTTTCTCCTGAGGGGATGCTGGCAGCTATGAACTGCCAACCTTTCAGTTAGTGGCCCACTGTATAAACCACTGTGCCATCAGGGCTCCGACAGCTGCAATGGTTTCCCAGTAAGTCTCAATCTATCTCTGAAATACACCATCTTGCTGTCCATCTTATTTGTTCTCAGCCCTGTCTGTGGTCTTGATCTCTCTTCCCTTGCCTGTTCCCTGTCTTGTTCCCTGGCTCTTTTCTCACTCACCCTTTACAACTTAGCCTCTTCAAGGTTTCATTCTCACCCCTTTTTCAACATCCTGGATGATATAACCCACCACCACACATTAACTATTTAACTATCAATGTTCTCCATCTTTCCCTCTGCTTCTCTGTGGTTCCCACGTACAAAATGTGTCTATCAGCACTCTCCCTCTCATTTAATGAGTTCCAAAACTGAGAAGGAAGCCACTGAAATTCAGGAGGAAATCGAGTAGAAACCTGGGAAAGGCAGGGGATCAGCAGGTTTGGAGTAATTCCCTGTCCCCATGAGTTTCTGCTCCTCTGTGCTCTTCATTTCTCCTCGGTGTTGGGTGTTGCTGAGCCAGCTGTGACTCACACCAAGTCTGAACAAGCAATGAGAACCCTGCCCTGCCCCACACCACGACCACAATCTCCAACATGCTCAAGTCCCACGTTGCTGAGGGTCTTCTTTACTTTCACTGACCCTCTCCGTCTTTCCCAGCATGATGTCTTTTCCCAAGGACTTGTCTGCATGCACACTGAGTGTGACTCCTTCCAAATTTATATATCCAGGCTTGACCTCTCTCTTGAATTCTAGACTTGTATTTTTAGCTTTCTAATGAATGTGTCTTGGAAGAAGAGCAATCACAGTGTTCCTTGGAAGCAATGAGGATGAAATGCCATTTCACATATTTTGGGCATGTTAACAGGAGGGGTTAGTTCTTGGAAAAAGGCATCATGCTTTAAACAGTAGAGGGCCAGTGAAGAAGAGTAAGTTCCACGGTAAGATGGATATACAGAGTGATTGCAACAATGGGGCTAATCAGAACAGGGATTGGGAAGACGGCACAGGACTGGACAGGGTTGCATTCTATAGTGTCAGAGGGTCACTAGGAGCTCGAGTTGATGCAAGAGCACCTACAACAATGAGGAATATTTCGGCCTAAGTAGTCAGTCCACAGGTACTATATTAAAAAAAAAAAACACCCCAAACCCATTTATTCCTTTGGTTAGATCATTGTGCCAGAACTCTCCAATCTAAAAGGGAGAATTGGGTATGATTTATAATCTTTTCTTCAAGACTAAGCTGTCAGGTAGAATTTGCTGCTCTCAAAGCACTCTGTTCACTTCTCTGTTATATATTTACATTATGCTTATTTGTTTGTACATCACTCTTAGCTACCAGGGTGCCTGTGCATCCCCAGTCGCTGGCATAGTTCCTAGTGTACACTTAAGAAGGATATTATTAATACATCAAAATGAAAGAAGATAACATTGTGGTTATACCACTGATACAGCAGCACAAAGGAAAATTTATTTCTGTATAGGATTAGACAGAGGGTTTCCAAAGGAGGGTATGGTGAGACTTAAATGACAACAAAATTTCAGCAGAAGAGAAGATGACACATTCTAGACAAAGCAAATAGTACACAACAATGGTATAAAGACAAAAATATTAGCATGTAAAAGATCGTGGGATCTTAGTATGGTAGTTGTTGTTGTTGTTATGGGCCTTTGAGTCACTTGCATAAACATATATGGTGGGGGTAACAAAGTTAGCAGAGGGAGGCCTGTGTCTTTTGCTTTTTATTTTTTTTTTCTTCTAATTTCTTTTTTGTCTTTTGCTTTTTAAAGTAGGGAGACAGAGTTTTAACATAAGGTTTTAGACAGGGAAACAATAAAACCAACCCAAGTTAACTTTCGGTACCAGTAAAAGTGATTGTCTTTATAGTGCTCTGTTAACTCTTGGGAGCAGTAATATTTTTATCCTCCCATCCTTAATCATCCATTAAGAGGTGAAGAAAACACTGTGCCTAATTTTTAGGTGGAGAGTTGGAGAGCTCAGAATGGCTAGATATGGAAATGTGAGAAAGTCAATCTACTTTTGAAGAGATTTTGTGTGTGTGTTTCAGGTTCCTTCCTTCAAATACTTTTTAAAAAGGGAAGGGGGGGATCAATGCACAGGAGAACAATTCTTCATCTGACTGAAAAAAAGGAAATTCTTAGAATGCTACATTTTGATTTCCTGTTTTCTCCTTTCATTTTTGGGTGACTTTTCATTTGCTACAATTTCAAACTAAAAATATGTAAGAAGAGTACAAAGAAATTATCTATATTATCAAATGCTTGGATTTTGTCCATGTGCTTTAACATGTGAATTTGTTTCTGACCATTTGAGAGTAAGTTGGAGATAGTATATAGCCCCTTTACTCCAATTACTATGTATGTAATAACCAGAGATCAAACTGATATAATAACAGTATTATCTACTCTACATCTAAGTTCATCTGATTCAAAATGTCCCATGCCCAGCCATCTCTTTTCGCCAATACCTAGTATGTCAATATTTATGCGTTCCATTTCTTTCTTAACAATGTCCAATTTTCCTACATTCATGCTTCTCACATTCCACATTCCACATTCCAATCAACAACAACATCTATGTATCTATAAAACAAATTTGAGGGAGCTCTGTTGGAACAGTCGGTAAGAAACTGCACTGCAAACCCAAAGGCAAGGGGTTCAAATTCACTAGCTGCTCCATAGGAGAAAGATAGACAAGCTCCTTCTGCTTGACTTACGGCCTTTGAAAACCTACTGGAGAGTCACCTATGAATCATTTCCTACTCAACAGCAAAGAACAAGAAATACTCTCAATAGCAAAGAACAACACATATTCAGCTATATTAAAATTTTGCCATGGAGTCCAGTAATGCTCTTTAAAGCTACCTTCTCTTTAATTATTTTAAATTCTTTTTAAAATATGTGCCTTTTGTTCCAAAAAATATTTAAACACTATCAAACCACAGCAATACTATTTTTTGTTCATACATGATTGTGTATTTAATAAATTTAATAGGGATGGATTGCTAAAATTACAACAGTGACTACAAATATGTTTGAATAGTGTCTTAAGTATACCCCAGGAAGATTCAGGCTCCATAGAGTCTATAGAGTTAATCTTTCACAAGAAATTACTTAACCTCTGTGTTTGCTTCCTCAACTGCAAAGTGAGGGATACTACTTATTCAGTAAGGATGTTAAGAGGATTAAATAGCAAAATGCATGCCAAGTATTCACAATCATGCTTTAAATGAAGATGATGCCCCCCAAAAAATAATTGTTTTTACAGAGTATGATCTACATTATTTTTTTTTTTCAGTTGGATGGATCTCAAAAATATCAGAACTAATGTTGACAAAGTAACAAGAATAATCCCCACTTTCTCCTATTAAGCAGCAAAAGGGTAATAAACAAAAAATTAACTTTTTATCACATCAAGAAAATTATTCAATAGCAGGGGGTACCCTGGAGGTAGAAATTCAACT